GGTTCACAACAAGCTTGCAGTTCGGCACAGTAACCCACAGCACCACACCAGGACTCCAGGGTTGTTGTTGTTAAGTGCAGTCAAGTCGGTTCTGACCCATAGTGACTCTGTACAGGGTTTCCGAGGAGTGGCTGGTGAGCTTGAACTGCCAAGACATTGTGGTTCAAACTGACTTTGCAGTCCAGCACATTAACCCGCAGTGCCACACCAGGACTCCAATGTAGACACATATTAATTTGAGTGAAGATGAAGGCAAAACAAATAAATAAATGAAACAGATTCATGAAAAGTTCATTAAGATGCTTTGTTTTGGAAGAATTAGAAGGGGAAGCACTTGGGCCTTGCCTAAGATAAATAATAATTCTGACATTTGTATAACACTTTATGATTTATACTGAGATTTCAAATTTTCATTAAAGCTTCAGAACATTCTTAAAAGTTCCCGTAACTAATCTTTTAGGCCTTCAATTTCCATGTCATTTATAAAATGGAAAAGACAATCAAGGTAGACATATTATCACAGCAGGCGTTTAGAGTCTGGCTGACCTGTGTTCTAATAAAAGCCCAGCTACTTTCTAGCAATGTGAACTGAAGCAACACAATTTCTCTGAGCCTTGGTTCCTTCTTCAACAAAACAGGAACAATCTGAATGTCAGATAGTAAATTTTGAGAGTCAGAAATGGTCATGTTGCACCCAACAGTATTCCGCACACAATAATGGATAACAGCAGTGCACTTATAACCTGAGTTTGAAACATCCCTGAAGACAGGTGTACTTGTTTCAGAGACGAGAAAACTGAGAGGATCGACAGCTTGTCTCATACCTAAATTAGGTTGTTGTTGTTAAGTGCCATGGAGTTGGTTCCAACTCACAGCAACCCAGCTCAGGGTTTCCAAGGAGCAGCTGGTGGGTTTGAACCACCGACCTTGTGGTTTACAGTCCAGGGCTTATCCTACAGTACCACACCAAGAGTCCAGAAGAAATATGGGCAGTCATTAACCATTGTTGTTGTTAAGTGCCACTGAGTTGGTTCTGACTCATAGTGACCCTGTATAGGGTTTCCAAAGAATGGCTGGTGAGTTTTGAACCACCGATCTTGCAGTTCAAACCGACCTTGAGGTTGAGTGCTTATCCTATGGCACCACAGTGAAATTTAACCCAGGAAGATTTTTAAAGTTAGGTAGAACTTGGCTAAAGGTCTGGCCTGCCCTTCCAGATAACAAGAGTGTTCTCCAGTACGCCTTTTGGTACCCTCGAACCAACACCTAAGGCACTGGAGGAGCTCAGCTGCTAATGGAAAGGTTAGTGGTTCAAACCCATTAGCTGCTTGGTGGGAGAAAGATGAGGCTGTCTGCTTCTGTAAAGATGGTTGTTAGGTGCCACAGTTGTCAGTTCTGCCTCATTACGACCCTACACACAATGGACTGACACACTGCCCTATCCTGCACTATCTTCACAATTGTTATGTTTGAGCCCATTGCTGCTGCCACTAGGTCAGTCCTTCTTGTTGGGGTTCTTCCTGTTTTTCGCTTGACCCTCTACTTTATAAAGCTTGAAGTCCTTTTCCAGGGATGGGTCTCTCCTGATAACCACATGTCCAAAGTATGTGAGATGAAGACTTGCCACCCTTGAGTCTAAGGAACATTCTGGCTGTATTTCTTCCAACACAGATTTGTTTGTTCTTCTGGCAGTCTACGGTTCTTTTAATATTCTTCTCTAACACCACAACTTAAATGCATCAATTCTTCTACATTCTTTCTTATTCATTGACCAACTTGCACATGCATATGAAGCTATTGAAAACACTATGGCTTGGATCAGACTTCATCCTCAAACTGACATCTTTGCTCTTGAACACTTTAAAGAGGTCTTGTGCAGTAGGTTTGGATAATGCAATATATCACTAGATTTCTTGACTGCTGCTTCCATGAGTGTTGATAGCAAATCCAAGCAAATGAAGTCTTTGATAACAGCATTCTTTTCTCCATTAATCATGATGTTATTTATAGATCCAGTGGTGAAGAGTCTTATTTTCTTTATATTGAGGTGCAATGTAAAAATCAAAGGTGGTCTTTGATCTTTTAACTCCGCTTCACTTTCAGGAAATGAGATTGTATCATCTGCATATTTAGGTTGTTAATGAATCTCCCTCCAATCCTGGTGCCACATTCTTCTTCATATAATCCAGTTTCTCAAATTACTTGCTCAGCATACACACTAAGTATGGTGAAAGAATACAACCCGGGAGCACTCCTTTCTTGATTTTAAACCATTCTTTTGCAGTAGAAGTGTCTAATATATGTCGTCTGAGTTCTTGACAGCTGCTTCCATAAGCATGGATTATGGATCCAGGTAAAATGAAATCCTTGACTTCAATCTTTTCTCTGTTTATCACGATGTTGTGTATTGATCCAGTTATGAGGAGTTTTGTTTTCTTTACATTGCAGTGTCATCCATACTGAAGTCTTTGATCTTCATCAGTAAGTACTTTAAATCGTCACATTCAACAAAAAAGGTTGTGTCATCTGCATATCACAGGTTGTTAATCAGTCTTCCTCCAATCCGGATGCCACCTTCTTCTTCATATAAACCATTTCTCAGATTATTTGCTCAGCATACAGATTAAGTATGGTGAAAGTATACAACCCTGCTACACACCTTTCCTAATTTTAAACCACACAGTATCCCCTGTCCTGTTCAAAGCCTGTTGGTCTATGTACAGGTTCAAGGGCACAATGCAGTATTCTGGAATTCCCAGTCTTCTCAAAGCTATCCATCATTTGTTATGATCCACACAGTCTCATGCTTTTACTTGTTCAACACAACACAAGTAAACATCTTTCTGGTACTCTTTACTTTCAACCAAGATCCATCTATCAGTAAATATATTCCTCATTCCATGTCCCCTTCTCAATCTGGCTTGAATTTCGGGCAGCTCCCTGTCATGTACTGTATGCAATCCGTAAAGACTAAACCACTGTCACTGACTCTTTCCTACTTATAGTAACCCTGTATGTAGGGTTTCCAGCAATATAAGTCTTTACAGGAGCAGAGAACTTCATCTCTCTCCCCCTGATCAGCTGGTAGATTTAAACCACCAATGCTTAGGGAGCAGCCCAGCGCGTAACCTACTGAGACACCAGGGCTCCTTTTCGTAAAGATTGGAAACCATATGGCCTAGATCTCTGAGTCAGAATCAACTCCAGTAGCACACAAAACCAAGTACTTAAGGACCCCACGTGACAAAAACACCTAAGCGATGAGCTGCCCCTATAGATTTGAAGCCAGCTAGGCTGAACAATTCCTACACAGACTTAAGGGCGCCTTGAGTTTGGTAACAAATTCAGTTATCAGTAAGGACACCTGGAGGCTCTAAGGAAAAAATAAAGCAAAAACATATTTATTGATGATCACAAGGTCTAGTGTCCTGCTTAATGTCCTGGAAAAGATAATTATAGTGTTGAACAAAGTTAACTGATCACCTGGCTCCCAGACCTGTTTTACAGAAAGCCAGACCCCATAGCTTAAGGCCAAAGTTACTGTAAGAATGAAGATAACAGTGCACTCTGGCTGATCTCCATCCCATCCCATAATAAGTGATGCCAAGAATTCCAGACACCCTTGATGCAGATTCCATCTTGTGAAACATGTTATGTGCTAGAATCCCCAAATACACCAAGCTCATGCTCTGCTTTAACCCCTCCTAGTTTTGGGGGGGAAATCCTCCCCTTCCCTTAAGAAACACAGTCCTAATGTTAGCATAAATAAAAATATATAAATAACCACCTGGCGGGGTGCCAGTTTTGGTGAGATTCTGGTCTCCCACAGTCTCCAACCTCACTTTCCATCAACAGCAAATAAAACTTTGTTCAACTGCTAATGTTGTCATTTCTAATCCTTTCGAGACTGAGAAGCAAGAACCCTAAGATTAAGAAAGGAGCCCTGGTAGCGTAGTGGTTACGAATTGGGCTGCGAACCTTAAGGTCAGCGGTTTGAAACTACCAGGTGCTCCATGGGAGAAAGATGAGGCTTTCTACTCCCGTAAAGATTTACATCCTCGGAAACCCTGTACAGGGTCCCTATGGGTCGGAACCGACTCTACGGTACTTAACAACAACAACAACAACAACAACAACAGATAAGGAGCTCTGGTAGCATAGTGGTTGTGAATCGGTCTGCTAACCTCAAGGTCAGCAGTTCGAAACTACCAGCTGCTCCGCATAAGAAAGATGAGACTTTCTGCTCCCATAAAATCTGTTGTTGTTGTTGTTGTTGTTGTTGTTGTTATGTGCCATGGAGTCGGTTCCGGCTCATAGCGGTTTCCGAGGCTGTAAATCTTTACCGGAGCAGAAAACCTCATCTTTCTCCAGCGGAACAGCTGGTAGTTTCGAACTGCTGACCCATAAAGATTTACAGGCTTGGAAACCCTGTATAGGCTCACTATGAGTCGGAACCGACCCCATGGTATATAACCACCACCACCAAATTGATGGTTTCAGAGTCACCCAAGAGCTCCGTTGAAGAAAGTCCTGGCAATCTGCCCCCATATGATCACAGCCGGAAAAAAGTACGGAGCACTTCTACTCTACCACTGGAATGAGCTCAAAGTATCGCCTGAAGTCCTGAGCACTTTCTATGGGGGAATTACCAATTGGGAGAAGTCTGGGGTGGCTGGTTGGTTTGGTTCACATTCCTGGCCTTTAGCAGCAATAATCGTCATTATTATCGTTGAAAGAAGCCTCCAGAGTCGCCCTGGGCACTGTGCTAGCCTTTGGGGACAGGTTCGGGGCCCGCTGACTCCAAGCCCGCCTGCACTCACCGTGCACTTCCTTGCCCGTGGGCCCGAGCCGTCGGTGGGGCCTGGCGGCGCGCCTCAGCCGACCGGCGGGAATCTTACAACACAACTCATCGCGGGGCTCGGTGTCCTGCTGCCACAGGACATGGAGGTAGCGCAGTGGGGACTGGGCTCCATCCGACGACCGGCCCTGGAAGCTCGAGCTGCTGCCCAACGCGGCCCCCAAGTCGGCGAAGGAGAAGAGGCCCTCGGGGCCTGTCAGCTGCTCCGGCGCCACAGCGCACTCGCCCTCGGAGCTCGAGCGGTCGGAGCGCAGCTCATCCTCCGCGCCCCCCGCAGCGGCTGCCATGGCAACTACTCCGCCGCGCGGTCCTGACTGCTGGAGCCTCGTTCCCGACAGACCAACGGACCCACTTCCCTCCACCCCAAGTCTCGCTGTCAGAGAGCGAGCAGGCGGGGCCGGGCCTGCAACCACGGCAACGGAGCAGGGGGCGGGCCTGGGCCCCAGATGCTGGTGAAGCTTTGGACCAATAAAAACCTTTCTAGAGTAAACCTAGCCAGCCAATCGGGCAGGTAGGTCAAAGTGCGAGTAAGATGATTGGACAGTGATTTCGGCAGCATGACTGACAGATGGTAAAACCACTAAAAATTTTAAGGCAAGCATGGTAGTTGCCGCATATGGCTACCGGAGCCAATAAAACAACTGAATTAAAGACACTCCCCCTCCCATTTTGTCCATTGGATCATGGGAAAGATAACGGGCAGATGCTTCAGCCAATCATATAAAGATGACCTGCAGTCACTCACACAAAAAAAGTGAAGAGACCGAAAAACAAGAGTTGTTGTTGTTAGGTGCCATTGAGTCGGTGCAGACCCATAGCAACTTTATGCACAGCAGAACGGAACACTGCTCGATCCTGGGCCAACCTCATTATTGTTGCCACGCTTGAACCCATTGATGCTGCCACTTGGCCAATCCATCTCATTGGGGTCTTCCTCTTTCTCTCTGATCCTCAACCTTACCAAACATGATATCCTTCTCCAGCGACTGGTCTCTCCTGACACTATGTCCGAAGCATGAGAGACGAAGTTTGGCCATCTTGGCCTCCAAGGAGCACTCTGGCTGTACTTATTCCAACACAGATCTGTTGGTTCTATGGGCAGCCCATGGCACTTTCAATATTCTCCTCCAACACTATAACTCAAAAGCATCAATTTTTATCTACTGTCTTCCTTATTTACTGTCCAGCTTTCACATGCATATGAGGTTGTTGAAAATACCATGGCTTGGTCAGGCGCACCTTAGTCCTCAAGCTGA